GAATTCCCTAGCCAGCCAAGCATTGCTGGCTGGGGGATTCTGGGAGTTGAAGTCCACTCATCTTAAAGTGGCCAAGTTTGGACAACACTGTCCTAGAGGAAGTAGGTCATAGACTGCAGTACAGCACTATCTAATGTGAAAAATACCTTCTCCCCCACACGTGTCACTTTTTATGTACTATAAAACTGTCATTTCAAGAATAGCATGTTGATAAATGCATGTTTTTAAAATACAAGTTTGGTATTCATTTCACTATTTAAACTTATTTTCTTTTTTCATGCTGAATGTTTCACCCATGCCTCTATAGTTATTCTCCCCGCACACACCAAAGATCTCTACCCGTATTTAGTTTTGGACTGGGGTTCTACATTTTCTTCTGATGTGTATTAAGGACTAACTGGCAAATGAGGGGAATCAATTTTGCCCCATAACTGGTAGTCAAACGGAAACACTGATTTGCATTGGCCACAGTGGTATCCACAAGCCATGGTTTAAAAAAAGTCAAGATGGTGGACACAACTATACAATCTAAGCTCCACCTTTTTTTTTTTTTTTTGGCACATAAAGAGATGGAATTTTGTTGCAGCTACCAATTTAACTTTTATTTTTTTAACGTACCCTGCGGACACCCCTGATTTGCTTTGATCCCATAATTGAACATTTGGGTTCAAAATACAATTTTCAATGCATGATTCGGAAGGACAAACTGTTCTTTCACTATAATGGTAGGCTATGGATTCCCCCCACAAGGGGAAGTAAAATTAAAATGAAGTGTACAAACAGACAGAAAATCAGACCAGGAATCTACAAACCCAAGGTTTGTTTTCAATTTACTATTAAAACCAATCCAATATATTGGAGTAGAATACTGTGTTATTGTCTTGAGATCTGCCCTGTGGTACCCCCATGCAGTCCCATGGGAAAGGAAATTTCACATTTGGATTTCTCTTGATAGTATATTTAGTCATTATTTGTGGAAATGGCAGGGGGTACAACTGCTTCTGTGATCCATCACATTGATGCCTCGCTGGCTGAAAAGACTAATGGGAGAGTTCTCTCATGATATCTTCCTTGGGATTTAACAAAAGTAGGAAAAGCCAGGGAGGTTGCAGAGATAATATAAAGAAAGAACATTCATCCAAGATTTTGGGTCACCTTGAAACTCCATATGTGCCTGAATATGTTATGCCATGCAAGAAAAGGTCACCAAACATTTTGTCTTTATCTTGTCCTTGTGTATTAAAAAAAAGGAGTCATCAAATTATTTGGTAAAAAATCTGTAAGATGCCATTTTATACAGAGCTATAAAAAATATTTATTTCTGTCCATTCTATCATGCTGAGGTAAAGCGCTGACTCATGCCTTGCAGCATCAATGGCCATGTATTCATTTCCATTTTTTTTTTTGTAAATATTATTTGTGTGTGGGAGAATATGTGGATGTATATGTGTGTTACTAATCTAATTACACAATCTTGTCTGAAATTGTGAATGCAGCTCTTTGCTTAGTCATTATAATTTAGCAGAAACTACATGAAGATTTACAACTTGAGACCTATAAATGGTTATGACTGTAGGTGACAAACACTTGAAAATGTCCCTCAGGACCAGCTGATACAGAACGTACTCCTTTCTGTTGATTCTGTCCATACATGGGTAGGATCACAAAGAAGCCTTATTCTCCTTCCTTTACAGTTTGAAATCTTATAATCTGGAGGAGATGGGCAGCATACAAGTTTCATACATACATACATACATACATACATACATACATAAATGTAAATATAATATAATATAATATAAATATAATATAATATAATATAATAT